ATTTTCTCCAGAACTTTGAGTCCAAATCAAGAACTTCCAGACCAAAAAGTGAGTTTGAGAAAATGTTAGGGAAATTAAAAGCCTGTTAGATTAGACAACTATATCAGAGTTTCTTAATTTTTAACGAAAACAAATTTTCACTGAATCAAAAATAGATACCATGTTTACAAGAAAGTACCAGTTAGACGAAAACATTTTTCTTTCCTAACTGTCCATTTCAATTCTTTGGTGCCTTCTCTCTAGTCATATTTAGCATGACAATTGTAATTTAAAAAATACATTCCTGTTTAGTCTATAAAGTGACCTGTGCTCTTTTATGGACTATAGAAGTAAAAGCTGCTGGCATCATAAAGGCACGCAGTGAGCAAAATGAAGCATAAATGTGTTATGCATGCATTGCAAACAGTAATGGAATGCAGAAGGACAAAAGAGCTTCCTTTAATTCCATGAGAGTATTGTCTTATATCAAAGTGGTTAATTATTGAATGCAATATAGAAAACAAAGTCTTCAAAACTCATGAGCCTGCTCATGTTGCTTTTGAATGGTCCACATGTGTTTCCCTTTTCCTTTTTAAATTCTTAACTAGGGAAAATGAAGTGGTCATTTCCAGCATGAAGGTATTGTAGATGTGGAGGAAAGCTGCTGTATATTCTTCTTAAGCTGTTACCTCCAGGGTCAGGTTCCCAGCATTTCCTCCCCAGCTTTCTCCCTATTAGCACCTGTGGTCTTACCTTAGTTACACTACCTTCCCCTCACCCCCGTGGTCTTGCTTTCTAGTTCCTATGATAATATACAACTCTAAATAGTGTGAATGTATCCAAATTATGTTATTTAAATCAAATATTATGATTTAATATATATTTGCCTATATCTGCTGTCATGGCATGTTAGTGAACTGGAACATAATGCTTATACAGCCATTTGGAAAGTGGAACCCTGTATATTTTACCACTATGTCTCGGTTGTTCATCTTTGGTTTTCCCTTGTGACTGTCCTGCCCCACAAGGATTTCATTAATTTTCTAGGTAGGTTGCACTTCAAAACTGGTAATTCTTCTCTCAAGTGGTCAGTGACTGTCAGTTTTTATACTCATGATGTGGCTATTGTTTTTTTCACGTTTCCTCAGTGTGTCAGGTACTGGCTGGATGGGAGGAGATTACTTTTCCCATGGGGAGCATTGTAACCCATTCAGGTCAGTGGAGAGGTTCTTAGAGGCCACAGGGTGTTTATCAGGCAACACCAGAAAAGTAAGCTTGGAGAGAAACAGGGAGCAGCAGACAGCTTGACCCGAGAGACTGCAATTTCCAGGGCAGCAAAGAGGACTCTTAAATTTTGCTGCCACTTGGAAAGTATTGACAAAAGTGGGAAGTAAGGACTTGCCTTCAAGAACACAGTGGGGTCTGTGTTCATAGAGTACCTTTCTGGAGTCTCCGTCTGACAAGTCTGCTTTCCCTAAAATTGCATCCTCTCATGAAGTGAAATATTAAAGCATCTTGATTGATTTTCCTCTTCCTTGCATGGGAATATCTCTGGCTGCTCTACATGAAAGACTACCTGTATTTGTAATACGCAGCGCCGAGATCCTGACATGCTGATAGGTACTTAACTTCCATGAATTTTATTTTTTAATTCATTTGATTCCTACTGCCCTGTGAATGGTCTGAGATTACTCCTGCTGGCAGCAAATGGCCACAGGGTGTTAACTAGGCTATCCAAAGAGTAACAAAGATATCTGTGGCTGAAGACTGCTGCTTCAGGAATCAGCAGGGGAGCCTGGGTCTTCAGAGCATTTGCAGCTCTTGGTTATTCTTGAACTTTCTCATTCTGAATTCGTCATCCTGAACCTTGACTGTCTCTTGCTGGCAAAGCTGTTAAATGGTTGTTGAAACAAGTATTCTGGCCTAACAGCTTTAAATGTGAAAAGAACAAGCTAGCCACCTTTTTGAGGAACCAGCTTTTTCACCTGTTAAAAGACTCCAGGCACATAGATTCTGACTTGACCTGTTCCCCTTGAAGCAATGAGAACCTCCTCTCTTGTCATGGTTTAACCCTAGCTGTCAGGGTTAAACTAAGTAGTACTGGCAGATACTAAGCAGTACCCAGCTGCTCGCTTGCTTCAGTCTGAGATGGGGGAGAGAATGGGAAGGCTAAAAATGAGAAAACTCATGGGTTGAGATAAATACAGTTTAATAGGTTAAACAAAAGCCATGTGTGCAAGCAAAGCAAAGTAAAGAATTACTTCCCATTCACCACTTCACCATTAACATCAGCAGGCAGGTGTTCAGCCATCCCTAGGACAGCAGGGCTCTATCACATGTAATGGTTACTTGGAAAAACAAGTGCTGTCACTCCAAATGTTGCCAGTTCCTTCTTCCCACAGCTTTATGTGCTGAGCACAATGCCACGTGGTGTGGAATATCTCTTGGGTCAGTTGGGGTCAACTGTCCTGGCTGTGTCCCCTTCCAGCTTCTTGTGTACCCCCAGCCTGCTCGCTGGCGGGGTGGCATAAGAAGTAGAAAAGCCTTGGCTCTGTGTAAGCACACCTCAGCAGTAACTGAAATATCCCTGTATTACCAGCAGTGTAATTCACAAATCCAAAACATAGCAACTGCTATGAAGAACATTATCACAGCTAAACCAGCACATCCGTCCTCCATCATTTCATGGCTTCAGAACCAGAAAGATGCAAAGTCCAGACATGAACCTTAGCAGTCTTTGTACTTTGTAATAGAAGACACTCTAGAAGAATCATAATATGTTAATAGTCAGTAATTCTAAAGAGTTCAACTGTCTTGCCAGATAACAGGCTGTTTAGATATAGACTATAAAACTGCTGAGCATCAGGGCAGGTCAGCTCAAGCAGCATCTGTCCTGTGTATCTTTTGAAGGCTCCTTTCAGACTCCTGTTAAGCATGCCACTGTTGCTGCAGGCTTAAGGCATGATGTTGGTCTGTTCCTGTTCATGCAACTACTTGGGGAACTCCTTTCAGACAGTAGTCATTTGTGGGGTATGCTGCTTGGTGTCTTCTAAATGTGAATGTGTACATGAACAGATGTATAAAGGGAAAGTATGCATCAGTAACTCCACCAGGTTGAACTGGTTTATCCTCATAAACATTTACAACCCTGTTATGTTCTTTGTTTCCCCAGTTTCTAAAGCTTTGCAAGATCATGACCATCTACTTACGGCTGTGCATAGATGTGCATGCTTGTATGGGAATTGGTAAAGCAAAGGCTTCTTGGGGTTTTGGGGTTTTTGTGCCTTGTTGCATGCATACCCCGAGTATGAATGATGGCATGGATGACATACTTGAGATTGCAGTTCATGAAAAGGTGCTTCCCTTTTTTTGTTACTTGTAGATACTTGTTATAGGAACAAAGATACAATTGTATTATGCTGTCCTAAATCTCTAGCTTGCACCATGTGCCAATAATGTTTTGGCAGGCAAAACTTTATGAAGAAATTCATACTTCAAGGCTTCTTACTCTCTTAGAAATGATACGTACAAGAAGTTACTTCCATTACTCAGTGACCCTGTGTCAATTTCAGTATCAAATCACCTCATCATTACCAAGGAATAGAAAAAGGAAGAGTTTTAACCATATTGGTTTTTGTCCTTCTTCTCAAAGGAGCTTACTGTTTCAGAGTAGTATGTAAATGGAAAGCATTAACTTCACCAGTCATCATTCACTAGTATGTACGTAGTTTGACATTTATTTGGAAACTGTTGTCTGTTGACTCGTAAGTGTTCTATGTGGGAATCACAGAATCATAAAATTCTTTAGGTTGGAAAAGACCTTTCAGATCGTCATGGCACATATGTGATCTGTTGAACTATGTGTTACAGCCTATCTAGTAAAATTATTACTCGCTTAACTGTTTGTCCACATTTTTATTTTGCCTATTCCCTTTTAAAGGTTTTTGGAAATATGGAAGAAGTAGATCAAAATACCTTATTAAACTACTTCAGACATTTTTCAACAAATTAAGAATTACTTAGAAGGCATCTGTGTGTTTTTACTTGTAAAAATCACCTCTCTAAGATGTGGGATAAGTGGCTGTGCAGATATCCTGAACAGTCAGTTAAAAACCTACTGTTCATAGCATAACTATACAGTGGAATGGCTCTCTGAGACCAAATGGAAGATTTGTATAATCAAGCTTAGTATTTGAGGCAGTAGAACTTCATGTTAGCATATCTGGGGACATAAAAGATGATAAGCACTTTTGGGTTTGGGGAGTTTTGTATATACAAGTGAGGTGTCTTCTTGATTGGTGAAAAATACTGACAATTAAGTGGCTTTGGTGTTACAAAAGCAGGTTTAAATGTTTAGTTGCTTAGAAACATAGTCTGTTGTCTGTGGTGGAACTATACAATAGCTTCTAAAAACGGTAAAAAGATCTAGTTTGGGGAAAGTTATTTTTTTAGTATTTTTGAAAAGAAACCCTAAATCTTTTACTGGCTTCAGATAGTTTCCACTTCAAAATAAAATTGTTGTGATCTTGTCAATGAAAAGATACTTGGATTCCCAGGCACTAGAAAATAAGTTTTAAAAAGTCATCTATAACAAAGAAAAACTGCCAAATTGTTGATGATTTCTTACCATTACCCCAACACATCCCCTGTTTCCAGCTTCATTCTGACTGAAGAACATTCGTTTGCTTCAGATTGAAATACTGCAGGCTGGAAGAAAGCCTGGGTGTAATAAGATATTTAACAAAAAAGATACTGACAAATCAAATCAAATGATCAGAATCATTTAAGGTTTTGGTGCTTCCAGTAACACTAGCAGTGAAACTGTAGAATTGCTTTTTCAACAGAAAGTGACTTCAAAGGGGCTTTTTTTCTGTTGAATAGAAGTCAGTAGTTTTCTCTCTCTGCTGCGCACTCCCACCCCCCGGCCCTCTTTTTTTTTAATCTTAGTCACCCTGAAACTGGTCACTGTTGGCAAAATAACAATTAATTGTATGGCTAATTGTGGACTGATTTCTTTTCAGATCTCGATAGAGAATGACTACCTAGGACCTAGAAGAATTGAGAGTCTGCAGAAAGAAGATGCTGACTGGCAAAGAAAAGCTCACATGGCTGTGCTTTCTATTCAAGATCTTACAGTTAAATACTTTGAAATAACGGCTAAAACACAGAAAGGTAGTTACAGTCTACTGTCAGTCAAATGAAAGATCTTTAAAAATTTATTTCATATTTAGCATGTTCTGTATCGTACTGCAATTCTTTTTTTCATCAGTGCTCCATGAAGAAAATGCAGTTGTCATTACCATTTGTTTTTACTTCTATGTCTATTCAAATCTTTCACCAAATAAGCCTTTTCAAAACACCATCAAAGTGAGCAGAGTAGAAATCTTACATAAAAGTTTCATAATCACTTTCTCAATGTGATTGTATTAGCTGCACGGTACATTTGCAAAGAATTTAGGGAGCATAGAATCCTGATGAATTCTGTCCTTTATACTGGATATGGCAGACGACCACAGTAAGTGCTTATTACTTTTCAGTTCATTTCCTTTTTCTGTCTCCCCTTCCTTTCAGTACTTTTTTTTCCATAGCTCTAAATACTAAACAACAGCTCAGTCTAAGTCCTCAGTGAAAACTGCTCTGTTCTGAAGTCTTGGATATCACCTTGGGATTTTTATGCCTGAGGAATGCAGGAGTTTTACTGTGCAGTAAAACCAGGTCATATGACTTGTCACATACATCTGCACTCTGATCCTTGTACCATTTGTTTGTTTATTGGAACAAACACACCTGAGAATGTGGTTCCCTGTCAACCTCTTTTAGTAGTTTGGCTGCAGGTTACCAGTCCCACTGTCTTCCATGCCTGACTGTTGGTTCCTGTTTCTTTCTTTGCCTTGGTGGTAGTGATTGTGCAACCAGATGAGCTAGGTCCCTGGGAGAAAATCTTCTTTGATGGGTTTCCTGTCATCTCACTGCATGACTGCTAGATCTGCCTCAAGAGAAGCAGTCACTGCAAAATGATTCCTTTCAATGAAAACCCCAGTTAAGCATAACATGAAACTCTTATTTTGAAAAGTGACTAAACCAGTTCAGGCATGTTGGAATGAGTTTAATTAAGGCAAATTCTAAATGTATTTAAATCAGTTTGGTTCCTTTTTTATCTTGACAAAGGCAGCAAATAAAATACTCCACTGGTTGAAGAACATGTATTTACAGTTACTTTTTTTTTTTTCTGTTTTGTTCACATACTGTTTTTTGGAGGGAAAACTGCTGAGAAATGGAATGTCTGGAGACTGTTTATAACCCTAGAACTTTGGTATACAGGTTGCTTGCCTGCGAGTTTTTTTGGCCTCCTGGTGATCACAGAGTGGTCTTACATACCAAAATACTAACAAATGGCAGAGGAAAACCACAGGAAAATACAGAAGTACTTTTTATTACCTGTCAACAGCATTTAATGTCTTCTAGCACCTGAGGATGGAAAGCTACCCATTTGACTGTATGACTTGCATGGCTTTAGTTTTGCAAAGCTAAGTGTACAGTATCATGTGCTCTATATATTAAAAGCAGTGAAAATCTCATGTGTGTCAGCTTAGATGTCTGGGGCTCAAGAAAGAAAATCTGAATCAGGCAAAGGACTCTTGCTACTCTGAAGGCTTCCTGAGAAGATTATTCTTACATTAAGAACAGATTATAATTTGTTTAATTAATTTGAAGTAATTTTGTGAAGCAACCTTTGAGTTTAAAGATAGCTGTTATTTAATTTTAATTTAGTATTTTCACAGAGTTGCACTTGGTCAAGCTGCAATGTTTGTTTTAAACTGTAATTCTTTTCACTCTGCAGATCTGTTTAACCTTATAACTGCACTATAAAAGTTATTAAGGAAAACTGGAGACTTCAGTAGCTGATGATTGGCCCTTTTAGAGGCAGGGAAAAATTTGGGATACAGTTTAAGACCACATGGTAGCATTAATGAGATACTTTTATTATGTTAGGAATTCTGAACCAGTGGTTCAAGTTTTCAGCTACTGTGTCTTCAGAATGGTCCCTTTCGGATAACAAAAATCAGAGTTGTAATGACAAAAGGATCAACAAATAGCTAACTGCAGTTTATATGAATCCTAAGAGTACTTATATCCCAGATTTGAAAATTAGTAGTCTGTGGAATAACTACTCCCAGCTAAGATAACTTTGAATGCTTTTGTGTACAAATGTGTGCATTGCCGCTGCAGTAGGATCCCTGGTGATCTGAGGAGTAGACTGGTAAGCTGTCTGCCTTTTCTTCCCTCTGTAGCTGTGTACGATCGAATGCGAGCAGACCAGAAGAAGTTTGGTAAGGCAGCATGGGCAGCAGCAGTGGAACGTATGGAAAAACTTCAGTATGCAGTTTCTAAGGAGACTTTGCAGTTGATGCGTGCAAAAGAAATCTGTTTGGAGCAGAAGAAGCATGCACTGAAAGAGGAGGTAATTGTTTGTACTAATAAATAGAAAAATAAAACATGCAGAAAACCCCAAACTTTAAAGAATGTTGATGTACTTAAACAAAAAAACCCAAACAACCGCAACAAAACCCAGAGCTGAAAGTAATTTTTTTCCAGTTTTTAATAACAGAAGTCTGTATTTGAACCTCTATTACACTTTACCGTGTTAGGTGAAGTTGCAGTGTAGGTGTGGTGGGTTTTGTGCCACTTACATTTTCTGTTCGTCTTTTTCTGGTTGGTTAATCATCAAGACAGTTTTTACTGTCAATGTTTACAGATATCTGCTGAGATGAATAAAATGAAGAGAAGGGATAGGACAGAAATCTGCTGCTATGTAATCTCTGTGCATTAGCTCCTTGAGGCATAACCACCTTTTCAGAATAGTTGTAACATTCCAGATGGAAGTTGTCTGAACATTAGTAAATATATAGATGTTGTACTATATTCTCTTTGGCTCTGCTTACCCTAATTATTAAGGCAGTCTTCCTGTGGGGGTTGTGCTAGCTACAGGTTTTCTGAGGAAACAGTGCATGCATTAAGCTGTGTTTAAATGTCGTAGCAGAAAAAAAAACATATTTACTGGGTTTTATGAAACCTCCTAAAAAAGCTACAAATCCTCTTTTAAAATTTGCTTTCACACAGATATTTGGTGCTAAGAACTTTTTGTCATACTAATGTCAATTTACATTCTGTCCAGTCAGTGGTTTGTTTTTAGAGCACTTCTCAAATGTTTTAGCAAAATTTGACTAAACCAGTGGCTCTGTTGTGAGAAGGGTATCCAGAGAACTCAAGATTTTAGTGCTGTATAGACTGGTAGGTTTGTAAGCCTGATAGACTCTGTGCCTATTTAAGGAGATTCTGTAAAAGACAGCTTGATCTGTGAGGAAGAGAGAGTACCTGCAAAACCTGGACCATGGAATAAAAAAGTTTGCTCCATTTCAATGTTCTTCAGAATTAGAAGGCCAAGAGCTGAAAGCTAAGTTTTTCAGGCTGTTGCCATTTTTATCTTGATGAGAGAACTAGGAGTACTAATTGGAAACACCATATTGAAGATGTTCATATATTTATAGGAGCCACATGTCATCTTTTCTGTAGCACATCTTATTTTTCTCCCAGTGGAAACCTTCTGTGAATTCTACTGAATGAGATCTCAGGTTGGTAAATAAGTAAGTGTTTGTTTAGATGTGCAAAAGCATTAGGGGCTGCGTAGGAAAAAAGAGAGGTTTGTTGTAGTATACAATAACAGGTGAGAGGCTCTGAACTGATAGTCTGGGGCTATCAGTTAGATGGACAGAGGAATGAGGAACATCTGATGGGCATGCATGGGCATGGTGGTTTGGCGTGGCGTATTGTTTGGCAAGGTACAGAGAGCTGTGGACCAAAACATGCTGATTGGAAGATACGAGGACCTTTCCTAGCAAACCATTTAGCTACTGTTTTCTAGTCATAGAAGATAAAACCAGGATATTCCTTTAAAAAGACCAGAATGCTTGAGAAGCTAATCTGTCAGGATTTGAGTTGGGGATTAAGACAGAAAGAACAGCATTTCAGAAGAAAGACCAGGTTTGACTGTTTATGAGGACACTCTCGGTGTTCAGCATGTTGTCTATGAAGCTTTGAACATTTACTCTTGGAAAAGAAAAAGTTTATACAGTTTATATAAACCAGTGATAACACCCTTTTCAAGAGGAAAAGATCTTACTTTTAGTGTCTGAAATTTTCCTGATTGCCCAGGATGCTAATTGTGAGTATCTTAACTTCACTTTTTTAATATTTTGTCCTGTAGTATCATGGCCTGACTACAGTTGACTCCTCATACTTAATAGGTTGGAGGAATACTTTTGTTAAACAAGTTGCAGGGTATGAGTGAGAGCCTGCCTTTTATCAGTGGTGAGAGTGCTCCATGTTTCCCTTCAAATAATTTAGAAATTCTTTAAAATTATTTTCTGTTGGTTTGAGGATGAGTTTCTATATTCACACTGAAAGACTTGAGTTTTTCTTCTGAATTTTTACCCCCTTCTGAGATTTCTCTGTCTGCAATAGTGATGAATTAAAATGAATACTTGAACTGGAGAACAGTCAGGATTCACACAGGGTGGATTGAAACATGGCTTTGAATTCCATCTGACAGTAACAGATTACTTAAAAGGCTGGATAATAGAAAATGCAATAATAGTTATTCATATATATTGCTAGGAAAAAGTAGTACAAATTTTTACCGTGAAATACAGGTTAATTATGACAGCAGATGAGAATGACCATGTTCTTATAATCTGGCCATAGCAATGGGATTGAACCACCAACGCAGCAGAGTAGTACAGCAGCAGATGCTCTCCAATCTGTCAGTCAGGTATTTCCAGCAAAAGGATAAGTGTTAGTGTCACTGCACATGGAGTTGTGAGATTTCTTCTGCATCTTTCTTCCACACGTTTCTGGTCACCAAAGAAAGATTGGTTCTAACTGGAGCAGTTACAAACAGGACTACTACAGTGATGACAGGAATGGCAAATCTGTGTTCCCAGAGAAGTTGAAGTTGTTCTGACAAATAAAATGAAGGCTGAGATAATAGAAAATTGCTTTTCATAAAAATACTAAAGGGAATAAATACTAGTCAAAAGCAGTGCGTGGTGGTGTTCAGTACTGTCCCACGAACAAATAGTATTATCTGATTGTGAATACACTGGAAATCTGGAAGATGTTTCCTGGCAGTTAGGAGGGAGTATCTGGAACAGACTTCCAGTGAGAGTAAACGAACACAGATTTTTGTGGAAGCTTTTGGTTTGTTTTTGTTTTTACAAAGCAGAATAAGAACAACAACAATAACATGGAGATTATTTTAAGAACACACATTATGAAAGGAGTTCATTTTAGATTTGCCTGAAAGTATTCCGTGATGGTGGAAAGCTGGATTTGATGGCACTCACTTCCGTATTTCATGTTTGACTATATTTGTTAATTTTGTCATCTGTCCCTTTAGCATGTGTGCTCATAGTTCCTGTCAGAGGCTTTCTGTATTAAGATATTTTAGTAACCACATGTGGGTTTACAGATGATATTAGAAGTATTAAGAAATTTAAGTTCCTGCTTAAGTTCTTCACTTAAGGGCCAGGCAGATTTAATTATTTGCTTGAGTTAATGCAGGAAGTTGTGGCATAGCAGGAAATTGAACGCTGATCACCCCAGTTCTAGTTCTTTGTCCACCTAAAGATTGTTTACTCCCTGTAACATTCCCATGTTAAAGTTCTTTGTGTTTCTTTCACTAGCTGATCAGCCTGACACCTACCAAGGAGGCAGCAAATTACTAGTACAGATTAGATAGCAACTTGTAACGTTAAGAACTGAATCACTCTTAAATTTTTAACAAGAAATGCCTAAGTTTTCCTGAGAGTGATGATACTGTTTTGAATTACTGTATGTATATAATGTCTCCATAAAGTTTTAACATGAATTATTGAAATTAAAAGTTCTCATTTTTCTTTTTCATGAGGGGCTATTATGTAGCTAGGAATCTTTGTGAGATGTCTGACAATACAAATTCCCATTGCTGTTGCACCTGAAAGTTGAATATAGTGGTGATATACACCTAAAACAGACCAGGTAGCTGGCAGCATCTGGAATGTATGCTTGTAGATCTGGTTGTAAGACGAGTCCTTTATCAGGCAGACACCAGTGCAGTGGAATGAAATACTGAGCTGCTGTAACTTGATAAGCTGATACTTTTGAAGATGGCACGTTTGTATCTCTGTCTTTATACAAAATCTTTGGGCTTAAATTTGGAAACATTTTGGTTTTTTTAGGAAAAATAAAAAGTAAGTTTGAGTGAATTTCACAGTTCACTGTCAAAGCAAGTTGTGGTAGAAGTTTGAATGATGTTGCCTTAATTTAAACAAACAAACAAAACCAAAACAAAAAGAGAAAACCACAGGCAAAACAAACAAAGAAAAAAACCAAAATCCCCACAAACCTGCCACATTTTGTTGCTATAGTATATTTTTTTACAGTGAGAAAACTCTTTGGAAATGCCAAAACCCAAGATAACCCTGCCTTACCAATGAGCATTATCACTTCTATATGGAAAAACTGGCATGTTCAAGAGTCAGTCTTTTCTCTTGAAAGCTAGCCTCCAATTCATTCCAAATATGCCATCATTATATCATTTACTGCTCTGGTCACAATTAGTAACTTAATATGGATGCAGAGTAATAGAATGGCATAACAAGACATTTTGGTGTCACACTGGACTGAAACATACATTATTGATTGTAAGATTTATGGTACTAACTTAAGGACTTAACTGAGCCTTTCACATTAATAATTGATACACAAAAAAAATGCAATCAGTAAGTACACAATATAGTAGGAGAAATTTTTCAAATTGACATTACAAGAATTGATTCACCGGTCTTCCGTCTATTCATCTTACATGAAAAGAAGCGTAATATACAGAACTGTTCCCTTAGTGTTTAGTTGAGCTGTGAAATCCTCTTCCGAATGGGTAATGATGCAGGTTCTGAAAGCATACATGCTATGAAAAAAGGGATAGGACAAATTTATGAAGTAAAATCCAGTAAATCTATTCTGTATAAAGGGCAGCAGTGTGGCTTAAGCTGTGCTGCAGGCTGTGCTGAAGGCTGGTGAGGTTTCACCAAGAGGTATCACTGCACTGCCTACTATGTTTCATTTATGCTTCTAGCCATTCATGGTTAATCTTTGTCCAAAACTGGGCAGTAGGATGGATCTTTGGTTTAATTCAGTAGAGGTATCTTTCTGGTTTAGTATAGTTATATTTAAACATATAGAAAAAATGTCAGGTATTAAAGATGTCTGGAAGGGTGTGGCTGATCAAAACCTTATCCTCTTGATGTGTTCAATTTTAATATGTTACATTTAGTGTATGAGACTCATGGTTTTGTTGTTTATTTTTGTTTGTGTTTTCTTTCTTTCTTTTCATTTAGATGCAGAGCCTGAAAGGTGGTACAGAAGCCATAGCCCATTTGGACCAGTTAGAAGCTGACTATTATGATCTACAGCTTCAACTGTATGAAGTGCAGTTTGAGATCTTGAAATGTGAAGAGCTGCTGTTGACAGCACAACTTGAAAGCATCAGAAGACTGATGTCAGGTGCTGTTTTGTGCATTTTAATTAAGATACAATCTGCAAAAATATATTTCTGTTTGTAAAAGTCTAGTTAAGCCTGTGGGAATGAAATGAGAACAGACCATACGAAAAGCATTAACAGGACTTTTAACATAGGTACTGTTAAAATTTATACCCATTCATAAGGCAAACAGATACAGAAGTTTTAGTCTGGTTCTCATTGCCTGTGTTGGAAAAAAGCATTTAAGATATTATGTAAGTTTTGGAAAACTAAATTCAGAAAGGAGGAAATTTCTTAATTACTGGACTTGTCTCGCTAAAAGTTTGCATTGGTATTATTAATTTCTTTGAAGTGATTAATTTTAAAAGGTATTCCTGCAAATCGGAGTCTTTCAGCTAAACTTTGAAGCTTGTTGTATTGCCATCTCAGTAATTTAGAGCAGAGATGCATACCTTAAGTTTCCAAAACGTATTATGCCTTGTGTACTTACGAACTATAGAAATAGTACAGGTAAATTGTATAGCGTTTTTGAATGCAGTTCTGTCCTATGGACCTTTCTGTAGTTAATGTTTTTATTCACACATGCTGTTTTATTGCTTAGTGCATAGGGCTTGCATAGCAAATTCTGTTATGGATAGAAAAGTCCCTTGGAGATTTGAAGCTGAATTGCGTTGTTAATTGCCTCTGGAAAAAGAGGAAACGTAGGTATGATGGATTCTTCTCACAGTTACGTGAATCTCCTCCTTTTAGGCTTGTGATGGCAACAACTGTAACTGCATGTATGGAAGATAATGGCTGAAAACCTTTTAAATTACTTAAAGAAATGTGGCAGTTTTGACCAGATGCTTCTGTGGAGAGCTAGTTAGTGCTTCAGGCATAGTTTTTGTACTTGGGAAATCAGACGTTTAATTTTGATACTGAAGACACAGGATAGTTTGCTTACCTATGTACCCAGGAGGCTATGAAGGAATGTGTATCAAAATCCTTTCTCTTCGATGTAGTGATTGTAAAACCTAAGGGCTCTCAGAGATTAAGCCTGCTGTAAAACATCATAGGTTATGACTTGTCACTAATGTTTTCTCCAGAAATTTCAAAAACAAAATCCCCAACCCCAAACAAAAAACCCAGCCGCACAACCTGACCTAAAATAAAACAACCCCCTAGTGAGCTAAGCAACCAACCTTCTCCTTCCCCCATGGCAACAAAATAATTTTGTTCTGGCTTCGTTTGCTGTTATAAATTTGTAACGTGTTCTTTAAGAATAGATTCAGAATTGTGTTGTTTTGTTTTCCCTTATTAAGGAGAGTTATGTTAGGAGGAATTCCTGTTTTTTAACAACTATTAATTAATATACCGTAGAACAGACAAGGAAAAGCACAGTTCTTAAATGTGTGTAAATCTTGTTCAGAGGATGAAATTACATCTTTGGACTTTACTTTGGTAGAGGGGATAGAACAAAATAGGAGGAGTGTGACACTGAGGTGGCTACACCTCTTCAATTCTGCACCAAATCTGAATGAAAGCATTGTCATGGTTTAAGCCCAGTTGGTAACTCAGAACCATGCAGCACTTTGCTACCCCTACCCTTTTCCCCCACCTCTGGGTAGGGTGGGAAGGAGAATCGAAAGAATGTAAACCCCACGGGTTGAGATAAGAACAGTCCAATAACTAGAGTATAATAACTATTACTACTCATATGCTACTACTGTATATCTATTACTGCTAATAATAAGGGAAGTAAGAAGGGGAGAGAATATAAAACTTAAAGGGGAAAGGGGAAAAAAAAAAAAAACAACGATAAAGCACAATGATATATAATACAGTTGCTCACCACCTGCTGACTGATACCCAGCCCAGCCCAAGCAGCGATCTGCCCTTCCAGGTGACTCCCCCCAGTTTACATACTGGGCATGATGTGCTGTGGTACGGAATATCCCTTTGGCTAGTTTGGGTCAGGTGTCCTGTCTCTGCTCCCTTGTGGCTTCCCGTGCCCCTCCACACTGCCAGAGCATGAGACTGGAAAATCCTTGATTGGAGAAAGCATTACTTAGCAGCAGCTGAAACATCGGTGTGTTATCAGCATTGTTCTCAAACTAAAGCCGAAACACAGCACTGTGCCAGCTACTAAGGAGAAAAATAACTGTTACATCTGAACCCAGGGCAAGCATCTAAAACATATAGTCATCTCTTAATATGTGTTGCTTCTTGTGCTGTCAAAGAGAATATTCTGTTGCATCTTCTGTTGCCCTTCCTTTTTAAAGTGTACTTACAGTCAGTAAAGTAATAGCATTTTAAATGTACACATGTGTCTTGGTGATTTGTAGACACTGTTGCTGCCCTTTACTGTTGAACTGTATTGGCTCTGTAGAGATATTTGAGAGAGTTCTGGATTCTGTTTTGATTTGAGGGACATCAGCAGTAGTGCTAATGAAATCCTAACATAATTTTTTGAGAGCATGATTTAATTTGACTGCCAGCTGGTTGTAAGCTAGAAGAAAAACATTTTATTTTGCAAATTCAGCATGTCGGATCTGAAAAAGTATCAAATAATAATAGATTGACATATCATAAATAATAGTAGTGTTATTTTACTGTCATTAAGCAAACATTTGCACTGAAATTCAGGAAATGTGAATTAATTAGGTTAAAATTTTAGAGGGTCTTACCCTATCCATATGAACTATTTGTACATTCTTGTAAGATGGTTTTGTGGTAGATGCACTTGTAAACCCCTATCTTTAACATTTTGCGAAAGTGTTCTGAAACAAAATTTGCATATAATTACAATTGAGGCTGAGGTCTCAAGGTCGGTTCTAGTGACTTTTGTCAGTTCTTTGTATGGATGAAACTGCTTTGTTTTCATTTAGTTGTTTTTTTTTTAAACTGAGCACTGAAGAGTCCAGTAGATCAGGTCTTCTTAGTTTTTATTTTAAGTTTGATATAGTGCTGTGCTTTTTTTTCTGGCCTGCCATGTCTCCTGAGTTGAAATTAACTTTTAAATTTTAGTTACAGCAGAGACTGTACATGCAAATACCATGAATTGACAATAGCTTTTAAAATTGAAAGTGCAGTGAGGACAGCTCTTCCAAATAATCTACTAGCAGAAATAGAAGGAAACTACACTCTTGCTGAAAGCAGTTGTGAAGTTAAAACGAGTTTTGGGGGTGCTGTAGAGTATGTACTCTGTAGTCATGCCAGCTGTATCTGTCTCTGTCAGCCATAATGCATACTCTGCTTGGTATATTACAAAAATATCCAACTTGGTGCAGTGAATAGGGAACAAGAGGCCTTTGCTGCTTCTTTATTCCAACATTCTGCAAGGATTTGTAATTGTCACTCGTTCCTTCTTGGCAAGAGATGAGAAGGCAGCATTCAGAGATGAGCTCAGTGTTACTCTATATGCTTCACTCTGGAGGCTAAAAATCATGAGTGTTGATAAAACTATTGGTAATGACCTCCTTTTCAGGCTCGCAATGCTCTAAAGGATTGCCTTGATGTTACCTTCCTTCTGCTACCTCTGAGCAGATGCAGTAAATGGGAGGTCAGAATTCTAAGAGTGTTTTTGGTCTTTTGGTGTCTAACTCCCCTTTCACAAAATTAATATTTGACAGAGGTGGATAAACTCATGTTAAAGACTTCAGAAAGAGCCTATGTATCCTGAACTTCATAGTGAAAGCCAGAGGATATTACTACTCATCTTGGGTCCATTGGTAAGAGACCCAGAGACATATGTGGGCATTGTAATCAAGTTAGACTATGGACACAAGTGTACACTTACAGTTGTATTTGGGTTTTTTCGATGCCCTGAGCTTACCTGTATAGGAGGCTGTGCTTCATTGATATCGATTCCTGTTCTTCATATACAGTGCTTTGCTGTTTAGTGCTTTTCCTCTGACCTTTTGATTTTTGATAGTCCTCTGAAAGGACTATAGCATTCTTCTATATTAAGTCTTGCAGCTCAGTAGGAGGATTGTTGTTGAGCAAAACAAAATGTTAATCAAATACAGACTATTGATTTGACTTTTTCATTGCTGACATTTTTAAACAGAGAAGAGAGATGAAGTGGTATATTATGACACTTTCGAAAGTATGGAAGCCATGCTTGAAAAAGAGGATACGGCAACATCTATATACTTGCAAAAAGAAGAGCTGCAAAAATTACAACAAAAAGTCCGCCAGCTGGAAGCACGGCGTGGACGTATTTCAGCCAAGAAAGCCTACCTCAGAAACAAGAAGGTATTACTAAATTGCAAATTTCGAGCATAATTAGCGAATTTAATAAAACTTCAAAAGATTTCATTTCAGATACAACTTCCAAGTCTACTAGAATTTTCATGGATTATGTTTACAATTTGGGAGTCGTCGTTTTACACGGTAGCGTATATTACTAAACTGATATTTAAGATGCAGTTTACCTTTTAGTTTTAAAGGAGTCTTTAATTACGTTGGAGGCAACAAATAAACTTCTTTCTACTGACTAATGAGAATGCTTTAATGTGGAAAGTATATGCTAGAATGCATGTTTCTACAGAGAGTAAGTTTATATATATTTGCAGAAGAGAATTTTCAAGGGTGTTTTCTCACTAATGAGTTCTATTTCATTTTCTTGCCTCACCCTTTTAAACTTGTATCATGTGTCATTGATACTCTGTGTTCAGCAGATACATACGAAATACGGTATATAGTCTTAATTTTTAAAACAAGGTGTGCTGCTTGGGACCATTCAACTTTTTAATGCGTTACATGACTGGGATGTTGTGCAGAAAATTGCTTTAGTTTTAATATAGCTAATGTTTTGAAGTTGTGTATATGTGTATGTAAATATGTTCATTCCTTTTTTCCAGAATTATTCATTTATTATGCCCTAGCAGTATGTGGTTACATCAGTATCATAGATTCATAGGTTAGAGTTGGAAAGGACCTTAAGATCACCTAGATCCGACCTCCCTGCCATGGGCAGGGACACCTCACATGAGACCATATTGCCCAAGGCTCTGTCCAGCCTGCCATGGAACACTGCCACGGATGGATCATTTACCACTTCTTTGGGCAGCCCATTCCAATGCCTCACCACCCTCACAGTGAAGAACTTCTTCCTAATATCTGGCTCTTCCTCTGTTTTAACATTACCCCTTGTCCTATCACTGCAGTCCCTGATGAATAGTCTCTCCACCAACTTTGTAGGCCCCCTTCAGATACTGGGAGGCTGCTATGAAGTCTCCATGCAGCCTTTTCTTCTCCAAGCCAAACAGTCCAAATTTTCTGAGCCTGTCTTCTTATGGGAGGTGCTCCAGCCCCTTATCATCCTTGTGGCCTCCTCTGAACTTGCATTATTAATGGGTGAGATAGTTTAATGAGTAGAAAAGCTCAAAGTTTTGAGGGAGCATTGTAATACTTGCTATGAAATAGGTATAATATAGGTTATATTATATATGCTTATGAAATATGTATACTATAGGTTATACTATAATCTATATGCAAAGTCTCAGTTGAGACTATTGTAGCTCGGGGCCAGGGGTTGGTGTAGTTCTGTGTTCTCAGTTGTGTGCCCTGATGCAGGAGATGACCCCTTTACATAAATATTTCTAGTAGGTTGAGGGTAAAGCCTTCAGGTTTTGCCTCCCCTTCATAATTAGTATAATCTATTTCTGTACTTCAGTCTGAAGCATAACAGCAAACAAAACCGTAGTAGATACATTTTATATTTTGGATTCTTTTATATTTCTTCGATCACTGTCCTGTCTCTAATGAACACATTACAGAGAAGACTGCAAATAAATTATCATAAAATAAATGTCTCTTGTTTGCCAGTTATGGGAAGTAGCTTGCTCAGAGTCACTGAGTTTCTTTTATGTGAGTTTGTAAAAAGAAGTACCAAGAAGCTGGGCTTTTTTAGTGCTTTAAGGAATAGATCCTGTCACGCTATGCTAATTAACATAGGCTACGTTATAATAGTTATGCTCTTTTCTCCCGAATATGAAGAACACTGCTGACATTTTTCAGAGTAGACAGCCCTGTTTTCAGAGTAACAGCCTGGTTGCTGTTCCTTAATTCTGGGAGGTAACAAGAAGCAATCTGAAGTAGGAATAGATTTTTTAGCATGCCTTCTTATCTGTATAGTGAACTAGTCACCTTTGATTGGCTTATTTGTTTCAGGGTTATGCTATGATAAAATACCTTGTTTAAACTGAAGGAATTAGTTCTGTGCTGTAACATTACTTGGAGCCTGTGCAGTGAGACATGATGCAAAGTTGTGTGTGGCAGTATTGCTCATCTTGGTCTGTGTGTGGGAATAATATAGTCATGTCTGCTCAACATTGTGCTGCAAGAACATGGCTATACTGTTTTCACAACCTGAGGTAGTGTCTTCAAATGGAACTTTACTGCTGTAAATCACAGCATGGGCATCTGTCCTGGGTTTAGCAGCAGCAGTCATTTTTTCTCCTTCTTGGTAGCTGGTGCAGTGCTGTGTTTTGACTTTCGGGCTGGGAACAAAGCTGATAAAAATGATGTTTTGGTTTGGCCAAGGACTTTGTGAGTCTCATGCTCTGCCAGGGAGAAGGGGAGGCCGGGAGGAAGCAGAGACAGGACACCTGACCCAAACTGACCGAAGAGGTATTCCATACCACAGCACGTCATGCTGAGGGGGGAACTGGGAGGGACCCGGAAGGAGAGGGGGTCGGCCGGGTCGGACTGGTGGTTCGGCGCGTGGTATTGTACTCCTTTCCTTTGCTGTTTTCTCTTATTGTTGTCGTTGGTGGTAGCAGTGGTGATTCGTATTGTACACTAGTTGCTAGACTGTTCTTATCTCAGCCCGTGGGAGTTGCATTCCTTCGATTCTCCTCCCCACCCCTCTGGGAGCGGGGAAAGGGGGCGGCAGCCCCTGGGGAAGGGGGGGGGGCCGACTAACGCCTGGCACCACTCACTGGGAGTAAGTGAACAAGCTGTTTGGTTGGGTTAAACCACGACAGCATCACAGCATTCTCACTAGTTCCGGCTCTGCTGATTCCATTGCTCAGGATAGCATTATCTGCAATTGAGTGCTGCAGTGAGATACTTAGCTTTCAACTTCTAAAGAAATCACAGAATAGAATAATGTGTATTTAAACCTGCAGAGGGAAATAAAAGATTTTTATTTGAGAAAAAAGAATAGGCAAAATCTGGTGTTACACCGTTTTGTGGTACTTGTTGGGCAGAAAAGAACACAGCCACTTTGATAGATACTTGTTAGAGGTGTTTACTGTAGCTGCACTTACAATTGCCAAGAAATTCAGAGCTCTGCTAAGTTTACTAGTAATTACTTGAAAATCAACTCTTGTGGCTTTGATTCAGACATAAACAACCTTTTTTCTTGACTGATCATTCTAGTGATGTTGCAAAACATTGTTAATGAACACTATTTATAATGCCTGATGCTGGGAGTTGTACTTTACAAAACTGGGAGGAAAAAAGGGTTCTTGCTCTGAAGCACTTGCAGTTTGAGACAGAACAAAGATACATATAGGATGCGAAAGCATACTCTACATAGTGAAAATGAGTGTGGTGGTGACTAAATGCTAAGTGGAAAAAAAAAAATGTTCTGAGGGTGCATTTGGAAAGTACATATTATGGTAAAATTCTCAAAGTCTGTCTGTCTCAGTTAAGGAAATTCTGTTGTTGAATTGTGATGAGTCTACTGAATACTTTTCAGATTCTGTTCCCGATCGTGCTTGTTTCAGCAAAGTGTCTTAAAACAGGCCTGTACAAAGTGTTCTGTTTTGGACTGGATTGGTGAGGCTTTGGTGGAGTTTTTATGTTTTTTTTTTACCCTTCCCCAACACCCCTGTTGATTGGGTTTTTTGTTGTTGTTTTGTTTGTTGGTTTTTTTTTTTATGTTGTCAGTTTTGTATTTAAAAACGAAGAAAGCTGTGCACTAAGTAGTATATATCACGGTCCTATGATATACTTAGAAATTACAGTCCTTGCTTGTTACTAAGATTTTGGCAAATGAGGATTGCCTTAGGAGAATGCCTTCTTTCTAGCACAGATACCATCATTAAGAAAACAATAGGAAATGATTCTCTGTCATCAGTTTGTATTTTTTGGTTATTTTCTCATCTGAGTATTTGAAAACATTTTCAGTTGAGATAATACAGTGAAAGGGAATCAATTACTCTGTGTAGAATAAGGATAAGTGTAATACAAATATAAGCATCTGTGACTATAGTCTTTGTTAATCTTGTTTTTCAGAAATTCCTTCCCTGATTTTGCAGATGATGCTTTAATTTTTTAATGATGATGTCAAATAATTGTGTCAAACCTTTATTTAGAAATATTTGCTAAATGTTTGTTAGAAAGCTCATGCAGTCATGATTTTGAATAATTGATACAGGATTTTTTTAAATATATAGTTTTAGAGAGGTTGATGTTCTTTCACTGTACTACCATGAGTGTAAACTCTTGATGCTTATGATTTTTCATACAAAACTATTTGCCTTTTTTAGACTCATAGAATAGTTAGGGTTGGAAAGGACCTTAAGATCGTCAAGTGCCAACCCCCCTGCCATGGTCAGTCATTTCCTGACATTCTTTTGTATTGATGACAGTGAGTTAGTTATTACAAAATGGGGTTGAAATAGTGATCTCACTTATTTCTTGAAAGCTAGTTACAGTTTTTTTCATGCAGGATATTGCTTTCGTTATCCCAGTATACCCCCTGCTGGCTGTACAGTAGTATTAATTAGGTTATCATACGGAACAAGCAACTGGGTTTTTTTAGGGAGTTATATTTGTAGTAAAGAGTTAAGGAGTTAATGTAAAAAGGATAGTATAAAAGGTGTCTAGAAAAATATCTTTGAAAAGATAGAGTTATGAAGAAATTGAATTATTTCACATCCAGGAAAGATATTACTTATTGCGAGCAGACTGGCAGAAGCAACTGGTTAGTGAAGCTGGGATATGTTCATAATATGTGCTTTGATCTGGGAAGCTTCTTAATGTGCAGGTGTGTCCATTTTAATAGGACCCCTTCACTAATTTGCAAACGTGCAATTTAAAGCATAGCCCATGCCAAAATAGGTAGATACAGTGACAGCTGGCATAGGGTTACTTGGTATGCTTTCATACTACTGTTACTGCTACTACTTTAACAACAACTTAATGGCATAACTACACAGAAGGCCTATAGTATAGTAAAATTCTGCACATACTGAGCTTACTAAATGCCTAACTTGCATAATTTTCAGTATGAAAACAAAGCCTGGAACTAGTGAAATATAATACTAATGTAGATTTCTTTTATGTATATGACATGTTTCTAGTCTTTAAAAAGGTAGCTTATCCAGTGACGAGGGTTGAAATGGTTCCTTGGCTCTCCCTTTTTTGTTTTCAATAGATGTAAAATTTGATACTATGAAATTGGTTATAAGATTAAAAGAGAAATGAACATTATTCTTCTTGATGCAGTCTCACAGAGATACAGTTGGGCAGCATCTTTCTTGAAGTGTGGCTCTCACTGGACACAATGCTCCTGCTTGCCCAATGCTGAGAACGAAGGAAAAGCACTTCATCTATTCAGCAGGCTGTAGTCCTGCTCATTTAGTCTATTATGATGCTTTCTTTTTTTGCCAGAGTTAGTTGGTTTATGTTCAACTTGTCATCTGCCATAATTATACAGATAATTTTCTTTAATGCTGCTACCTGGATGGGTTTTTTCTTCATCCTTATTTGCAGTCACTTAATCTTGTCTACAAGTAGAACCTTGTATTTGTCCCTGTGAAATTGCCACCTTTTTTTTTTTTTTTTGACCATTTCTGTAATTAGTTAAGATGATTCAGATTTCTAATCCTGTGCTGTAATATGTTTTCAGCCGCTCCTAGTCTTACTATTTCAAGAGATTTAATTACATTAAAGCAGGTTGTTTATTAGTACGAAGTCAGCATCAAATACGTTTTGTTTTGGTTTGTCCTCTCTACATGCTTAAAACAGCTTTCATTATTGCTCTTCATCAGAGAGATTTAAATACTGATTCTAAAGAGAAAATGTTTTATAAAAGTCTGCCTCCCAGGTACTTATGAGTCAGAAGCTCCCAATCCAAACCTAACATATATTTTCTCATTATTTTATACCTTTTTTATAAGTCATAACATATATTCCTCACTATTTTAGCAGACAGTTGAACTTAGCACATAAATAGTGAATAAATTATAAAGGTAAATCAATGGTAGTATTATGAAAAGTCTTTCAGATTTTCTTACAATATTCTGAAGCTATTGCTTTGTCTTTGAAATGCGTTAACTTTTCCAGCTGTATTAAGTCGACACTTTTTGTCATTAAACCCCCACTGAATTCCACAAACAAATATAAAACACGGGAGTGTTTATCTAGAAATATACATCTCTGATCAAGCTGGGACAGTATTTCCACAGAAACTTACTCTCTTTTTTGTTACCTGTATTTGGTAGCAACATGAATAGTCTTAAAGTTCAGGAACTGTCATGGTTTAAGCCCAGACAGTAACTCAGAACCACAGCTATTTGCTCACCCCTTCCCTGTCCCTCCGGCTCCTGGCAGGATGGGGAAGAGAAACGAAAGAAGGTAAACCACACTGGTTGATGTAAGAACAGTCCGGTAACTAAAGTATAATATAAAACTATTACTACTAATAATAATGATAATAATGATAAGGGAAATAACAAGGGGAGAGATACAAAACTAAAAAGGGAAAGGGGGAAAAAAACAGTAAACACAAGTGATGCACAATACAATTGCTCACCTCCCACTGACCAATGCCCAGCCTGACCTGAGCAGCAACCTGGGCCTTCCGGGTAACTCTCTCGTTACGACGTTATGACATGCTGTGGTATGGAATACCCCTTGGCTAGTTTGGGTCAGTTGTCCTGTCTCTGCTCCCTCCCAGCTTCCCGTGCCCCTCTGCATTGACAGAGCATGAGACTGAAAAGTCCTTGATCGGAGAAAGCATTACTTGGCAGCAACTGAAACATCAGTGTGTTATCAGCATTGTTCTCAGACTAAAGTCGAATACACAGCATAGCACTAGCTACTAAGGAGAAAAATAACTGTTACAGCTGAACCCAGGACAGAAACATTCAAGACAGCACAATATTTCTGCTCCGTATAGGAATACTGACTACCCATCTGTGTGATCTCAGTATGTCTGTTGTCTGCTTGTAGGAGAATGTAGCTTTAAAGTGCACTTCCAAGCGTCGAACATGTGATTTTATTTTCCCCAACTCTCCCCTCCTTGGTTTTTGGGTTTGTGCCACTACTGTAATATCTTATTTCATGGCTGATAATTTGGTCAGCTGTCCCAAGCCATGCTTTCAATGGCAATGCTATTATCTGGTTTCACCCAGCAAGTCAAGCTGAGTGATGCCTGGGAAGTCCATCATTTTGGCGTTACAGTGGCAGTTGCATTCCAGACTGCTTCCACAACACTGTCTCCTCTTATACACCTGTGAGATCTGTTTCTAAATAGACAGTCTGACTTTGTTCTGCTTCTGTGTGCTGTTCATACTAGGCATAATCTCATTGCCCATACTGTCTGATTTATTGGGTCTCAGTATTCTTGAGTTTTCAAGTTCCTGGAGTCTTGTCACTACTCCAGATTCTTATTTACATTCCTCTTCTTTGTAACTGGCACATAATTCAGTTCTTTTTATTATCTACCTGAAGTTTGAGTGTCATCCTGTTTCTTGTCATCTGTTGTATAACATGGCCTGTTTTGTTCTGTTGTGATTTTTTTTAACCTGGTCATACTTGCAGGCAATGCAGTAATTAGCAATTTTTTTTTTTTTTTAATTGGATAGTACAGATCTGAACTTGGTGAGCCTGGTTTTGCAGGCATAAAATTTTAAGAACTTTATTAGTGTTTGTGCTTGTGGATTGTACATGCAAAAGATGAACCGACATTTGTAAATGAATCTGTCCCGTTGCATAAACAAATATGTAGTATGTTTGAGAGTTAGTTATCTTCCATTTATACAAATACATGGAGTTACACAGGGTTTTAGGAAGTATTTGACAAATCAGTGTTTGTTGCTACTTTTGTACTGGTATTGTAGAATAGAGTTTCAAGCAGCTGTTATTTTTGTATGGTTTTTTTGACAGTTAAAAGTAATAGGTTTGAGTTTGGCTAGCTCTTGTTTTAATATTTTTGTTTTATTGTAAGTTAAATTAGCTTGCTTAAATTAGCTCATTTGAGATATCACTAAGAATTAGAAAAATAAAAATTACAAAGCCTATTTGGTAGGTATATTATATGCGGTAAATCAATACTAGAAATTTGTATTTTATAGATAACCTTTTATGTCTCTACAGGAGATCTGTATCGCAAAGCATAATGAAAAGATCCAGCAACGTCACCAGAGTGAGGAAGAATACAAAATTCACCATACTGTTCAGCTAGTAAGTTTGAGTTTTCTGCTGTTGAGATTAGCATTTAGTTAGTAGCTTGTGTTCCTCCTCATACATTAATTAGGACAGTATTTACAGTGATAGCTGTTTTTAAAAGATAGGGTGTGTTCCCAACCTTTGCACCATGGATTTCTGTATCGTATTATGCTGGTAAACGGGAGTATAATAGCACTGTTAGGATGACATTGAACCCAAGCAATAAGAAAGGTTTTTAGTGGTAGGTTCACAGTATAAGTGATTATTGCTAGGATTAGGTTGCATTCTTATTTATAAACAAAACCAAACACAAACAAATCAACCCCCCTGAGTTTGAGACTGCTTCAGGAAAAGTTTGATCAGATTGCATATGGAACATCGAAATGTGTGGGTAGAACTATCCTCTCTTCTTGGTACAGTCTTTTCTTCATGCTTCTGTTTTAACTCCTCTGCCCCATTGCTGTTACTTTCTTTTCACCATATAATATACTTCTATTCCTCTTCACCTTTTCCTGTTTCCTGTCCTTACTCTTTTTAGATACGTTCTTTTCTTCCTATCCCTGATGTATCTGTATTTACTTCCTTCCGGTCACAGGGTTGGCTTTTTATGAAGGACACCAGTCCACTAGCTGACTTCTGAAAAAGGCAGGCAGGCAGATATGGCTTTTGTGTTGACTTAATGACAATAAAAGGCAAAAGTGATCAGGTTTTTTAATTATGATAAAGATTAGCTTTTAAAAGTAATATTAAATGCTGTGAGTAATTTAAGAATTAAAGCTGCTGTTTCTGCTTAAGGTTTATTCTGTATCACTTTTCCTGGTAACTTCTGAACTTAAATACAGTGACTTTTGCCATTTGACAACTAGCAGTCACTTTCAATAAATGTGACTGAAGAGTAGTATTATGTTTCAAAGATGTAGAAACTTTGCTGAAGTTGTGTGGAAATGCATGACTAGTTAAAGGAGGTAGATCCAAATGTGTGTTTTCACTGAGGTAGTATCCCTAAATAAGAAATAATCGCATTAGGAAAGAAAAATTGCAAGGAAGAGCTTCAACAGTTTATTGAAGTAAGATTACAGAAAAATGAAGCTGAATTAAATAATTAAATACAAATTTTTCATTTATTGTTGTAAATTCTAATGAAAATATTTACCTAATTTCCTCAGTATTCAAAACTGTGGCAGTGAGTTCTGTAATTTTTTGCACTGTGAAAATCTTAATATGGTATCTTAACACAAAAGGGCAACCTTGCACTTTGGGCTGTCATTTTGTTCTTGAAATGAGAGAAAATGGATATTTGTTTCTTGTCTGGCTAATTTATACCATTTTTAATCTAAGCAGTCTTTTTTCAGTATAATATTCTGTCACATCTCTAGTTATTTCTCATCTTTCAAGGTAACAAATCTTCAAATGTTCCAATTCCAGATGGAAATTTTTCTTTACAGAGCTTTTCAAGTTTTTGAAGTTATGAAACATGAAATGCATAATATTTTGTAAGGGGAAGATGCCAAGTTTTGAGGTTCAGAAAATGTTTATTTGAGAAGTAGATTGTTAGGTAGTTATTAATAATTAGTAGAAGAGTTATTTTAATTCATTTTTTTGGTGGTGCTGAATGTAGCATTGGATGTAATATTTACATGCTTTCCATGTATTTCCTTAGAAGCGAGATCAGTTACAAGATGAAGAGGAAAGAAAGAGCTCTTGGGTTAGTCAGGAACGACAGAAAACACTGGACAGACTTCGCACATTTAAACAGGTAATAGAAGAAGAATGTGCTTTTCCACTAGCTCCTTTTGCAGAAGAAATTTTTACTTATTCCACTCATTCCAGGACTAAACTATGTAATTAACTATTCTTTTTCATTGTGCAGTTAACTGTTTGACTCATATTTGCAAGAAAATACGGCATTGGTGGTAACGAGTGTCTTCGTCTTGCAACAAGACACTTTGGAAGCTTTCCTAAAAGAAATATAATCTAAATGTATTTCCCACTACCACTGATTGCTAGAATACTTGTCAGTGCTTGCCACTTCCTACTACAGTGGAAGTATCAGAAAATGAGAAGATAGAATGAAGGAGAATGAATAAGAAAAGGGATTAAAGTGCAATAAAATAGAGATTGTATTAATTGGTGAAGACTTTTTTTTTGTTTTGCTGAACACATTAAAAAGATACAGGTATGAGAAATTTGTTTAATTAGCAGTACTTTACTCAGCAGTACGGTTTTTGTATCTTTATTGTTTGCAAGGCTTTTGAATTGCATAGCTTCTGTCGATTAGAACAGCTGTTAATGAGTTGACTTAATGTATAAGCATATTTATATTGTTATGATCTCTATTGCTATAGGCTTACCACAGTTGTTCCTGAAAGGTATTAGACTTGTCTTTCAGAAGCATCTTAAATTTTTGCATAGAAGTGGCTATGGATGAAACTAATATGAAAGGATAGATAATGAGGCAGCAATTTAGTTCCTAAAATACCTTGTAAAGTCTCCAGATGTTTGATTTTTTCAAGAGATAAATTTTTAGGCAGTATGCTTCACTTCTAAGGCCAGTGTATTGGGTCAGAGAGGACTTTGTTGCAGAGGGAGCCATTGGCCAGTTTTAGAAAAGGAAAGCAATAGGGGTTTTGATTTTCGTTTTCAGAAAAAATAGTTTTGAATGTACATTTTCTGGTTCTTCATGAAATCCTAATTCTAGCATATGTATATCCCAGACCAGTCTTGTAAATTGTGGCTTAACCAAGAATAAAAATCAAGAAAATGGATAATTTTTGCATAAAGGTGAGGATGTATTTGCTTTGTTTTTACATCAAGAGCAAAATGCATGAAAGTAGCAGATGAATTCTACTTGTCAGAAAGGCAAACCGCAACAACAGATACTTCAGATCTAGAATAGTACTTGTATATTAGTTGCATACTTCTCTAACGGTCAATAACTTATCTACTTCAGCGGTACCCTGGGCAAGTAATACTTAAATCAACCAGACTTCGGCTAGCTCATGCAAGAAGAAAATGTGCGGCCAGCTCAGCGTCCTGTGTTGATCAGCCTCAATCTTTGCCAGCAGCCATACAAATCCAAGAGAAAAGTGAAGAGGTGGAATCAGAAAATGCAGTTCGGCCATTGCAAGTGCAAGAATTCACAAGCTTAGAACAACTTCAAGATACCCCATTACTTCCTGATGGTGTTAACTCTGAACTGCCTCCTGTTAGTATTTCTCCACTCACCAGTAATGAGGTTGAACCAGAGATCGTTACTGTAGTACCTCTTCCACCCCCTCTGCCTCCACCACCACCTCCGCCTCCACCTTTGCCCTCCAAGGAAGATGCTACTGCAAAACCCATAGAGAAAAGTGACAGCTTTGTTAAACGTCAGAGTGAGGAGAAGGGAGTCCAGCACTCTTCTGGTGTCCCACCAGCATATCTGTTTGACAGCAGTCAGCTAGTCAGTGCCAAGAAGAAGCTTAAGAAGACTGGTGATCTAGAAAGTTTACAGAGGAGAAGAGGTAATGTATTTCTGTATATTTAATGGTAATGCACATCAGTTCCATTTTTTAATTGCTTTGTAGAAAGGTGTATACTGTGATTTATTGATAGTTATTAATGGGAAAGTCATTAGATCCTTTTTAGTTGACAGATGTTGGAAACTGAAACAAATGATAGGACTTTTAGGACAGAGTGCTGTATACTTGTTTAGTTAGAACATACTTGTGAAACGACTTCTTCTCAGTGAGGGTGACGGAACACTGGAACAGGCTGCCCAGGGAGGTTGTGGAATCTCCTTCTTTGGAGACATTCAAGACCCGTCTGGACACGTTCCTGTGTAACCTTATCTAGGTGTTCCTGCTCCGGCAGGGGGATTGGACTAGATGATCTTTTGAGGTCCCTTCCAATCTCTAACCTACTGTGATACTGTGATACTGTGACTTTACAGTATACCATGTTAGAGTAGCTAGAAAATGGAGCTAAATATTGTCTAAAGGAATCTTTTCCTATCTAGCTTACAGCCAGCTCTACAAATACTATATGCTTCACCTAAGGGGGTGCTACTTGTTTTTAACTGTTTATCCTTTACCCCATATATAAAATGGGGAGAATGGCAGCCACGTTTGAACAAAATGATCCTGGCGTTGTTGTGAAACGTGCTATATTGGAGCAAAGTTTTTAATTGAAAATCAGAGATGGGATTTTCAGAAATTCTCAGCCAAAGTATTTTACTGGAAGTCACAGAGAAAAAGTACCTTGAATGAGCCTTGATTCATGATGCAATAATATGGCTGCGATAACATCTTATTAAAAATTCTACCTGGCTCTGTCAATTACATCTACAGAAAACATCCCTTCACTGACATTTTCCCTCATCCAGATAAAATCAAAATTAGAACTGTCTTCATTCAGACAGAAACGAGAGTGTTTCCCCTAGAATTGTCCTTAAATGACTGAAAATCCTTGAAGCAGCTGCATAGTTATAGAATTCTTAAGCTCTTACGAATTCTGCAGGTAACAGGTATTCTCTTGAGTTCATTATCAATTTTGATGCTGCTGCACTCCATTTTCTTTTTCAGTAATCCTTTTTTTTTTTTCTGATGCCATTTTATCTTGCACTTTTACATAAAGCATGTATTGTGCCTGCAATTTGATCTACATCATAAAATGACAAATATAAAATCAAATTATATCCTCTCGAGAGTATTGTTAATGTCTGCAGCAGCACTCTACCTGCTACTCTGTGTTCCCAAAAATGTTCCAAGTCTGTAAGTGGTTTCAGAAATTTGTTTCTGTACAACAGATGATTGTTCTACAGTCCTTCCTTCTTCCTTCAAATGTGCAATCCTGTTTTCTTGTATTTCTCTTTTCCTTGTGTCTATTCCAACTATCCTGGCCATTAGTCTGATGGACAAAGCTCACTCATAAATGCAAAATAGTTTAAAAAAAATGTTTTCAAAGGTGTACAAAAAAGAACTGGAGATGGATGTTCATTTACTGATTGGTATGTGGTAGTGTATGTGAGCATTTCAGACTGCTGGTAATTCACTGTAGTGCATTTTCTTGGGTAGAGATCTTACCTACTTGTAGCTTTTCAAAGAGCCAAAGCTCATTCAAAGATTTTTATTTCTGCAAAGAACTGTTTTCAAGTTGGTGATAAAGGAAAGACTTGGGATGAAGTATTAACTCTGTTTTCATTAATTATAAAGGAAGGCATATAGGAAAAATACATAGGCATGCTGTGACTGTGTGCTAATTCATACATGACTACAGAGGAGCAGGAAAAGCATGCTGTTGCAGTTGACTGTACTGCTGCTTCCCTTACTGACATTTAGTAACAGTAATACAGTAGGTAAAATCCACCACAAAATGCAAGTACTGAGAATGGATTGCACAGTCCAATACTTAGGATATGTACTCATTACCTGTTTCAAAGTGAAGAAGGCTAATCTGATTAAGCATTTTGACTGTGTTGGATGCATTGCAGCTATTTTGATTTTCTTACCTGCAAACAGGAAAGCTGTCTTTCTCAAAAGATTTTACTAACTCCCTCATAAGAAGTGAAGTGGTTTCGGAAGCGATTAGTTGTCCTTATAAAACAGTTTTGACCTTGTAATAGGGAAGATAAACTTGGAAGCTAAAGCAACATTGGAGCTACCATTATACTGACAGTATGGGACTATAACATTAGTAATACTACTTTTTGGTCTGTAGGAAATACAAATGAAGACTGATAAAATTTAATAAAAATAATACTGAAGGTCTTTTGATTTACTGCAGTGAGTTCCCCGATGGATGAAGTGCTGGCTTCCTTGAAACGTGGCAGCTTTCACTTAAGAAAGGTTGAACAAAGAAGTCTCCCGCCTTTTCCTGATGAAGATGATAGCAATAACATCTTGGCACAGATCAGGAAAGGGGTGAAACTGAAGAAAGTGCAGAAAGATGTTCTGAGAGAGTCCTTTACAATTCTGCCTGATACTGACCCCCTGACAAGGAGTATCCATGAAGCATTGCGACGGATTAAGGAAGCATCACCTGAATCAGAGGATGAAGAGGAGAGTTTGCCTTGCACAGACTGGGAAAATTAACCTGTAAATAATCTGCCTTTAAAAAAAATACTTCTTCAACACATTTTGTATAACAATACAGGCAAAGCCTCAGGTTTTTCATTGTAGGAGACTTAGTATGAATGTGACTAAACTGTCTGACATCAAACGTGGTAAAATACGCACATACGAATTTAGTATCACTGACTTTTCAAAGAATTTAAGGTTTATAGGAAGAAAAACTTTTTTTAGGCAACATCTTATCCTTTTCTTGTTTGAATACTTTTGCTGAATAGTGACAGGACTAGTCCTAGGAAAAGCTCTATTTTATTTCGTAAATTTAAAGGCACTGTTTGCATCTTACCAAAAAGCTTTTAAGTAAAAAAGCAGCACAGTCACTCTTGGACAGACCTTGTACTTATTTTCTAATTACTTCTGACCTTGTAAAAAATTAGCACGTTTATCACTTCAGACAAAGCTTTTAGTGAAGGATAGTTAGATTTGGCTGTTGAACACATTGGGATCTCTTTGGTTACCCTGTGTGACTGACTCTTTGATAGCTTGGTTTCAATCTGTGAACTCTCTGACTTAATTGGATTTCCAGGCTATAAACAGTAAATATAAAAAAAAGATCCCTACTTCTGCTACTCATACAAATGAACTTGCATTATATGAAGCTACAGTGCTTGAAAGTACACATAGTAGACTTCAGCAGATGAAATTAATGATTTCAGAACAAATCGGAGATCAGCAAGAGATTATCTTCAAAATTATGGCTTCATCAGTAGCATGAACAGATTCTTAATTACTACAACAGTGTACACCGCTATTGTTCTGCAATGGTTCTTTTATGCTACTAGCATGTGGATGAACTTCAGTCCTAAAGACAGCTCCCACTAGACTTAAAATTTGTAGAAAAGATACGAAAATCAGCAAAGAATTTTAAAATATTTTTAGAAATCCAAGGCTATTTCAAGAGTGTGGAAGACAAATATTTATAATCCTTGCAACACAGCTAGCAGTAGAAAACGATAACCTTTTTGGATGTTCTACCCTGGTTAGTTATTACCATAGCTGGAGAGTGAGTATTGATAAAGCGCTGCAGCTGTTTAAAAAGTGGAAGTGACTTAGCACATCCTCTGCTGAATGTCATTGTAATTATGAAATACCGTATCTCAAATTGTTCTTTTGGTATGCTGTTTTCAAATAATACTACTTAAAGCTTTTTAAAAGGAGAATCAATGTTGCCTTTATTTCCTCATGAACTAGCCATTGGCCACGCTAATGATTTACAACTGTTTAATGATGGCATGCTAGTTATTTTCCATACCACATGTACTGCTGCTTTTTGGAGTTAAAAATCCAGGAGCAGAGGTACACTTAACTCTTGCTAAAAGTCAAAGTAAAAATAGTTTTGATTGGATGTCACTTTTTTCTTCACTTGCATACTGTGAACTCCCACTACCTTCAGAAATCAAATGACAGCTATAAAAGAAGACATGCCTTGGAACTGATTTGGCTTTCTCAGTGCAGTTATTCTCTATTCATTTAGTAGATAACTGAGCAAATTTAAACTTTGTGATTTGACTTAATGATTTTATTAAATCTAAGTTATTCTTTGGATCTTGCTGCATTGTTTAGCAAGAACACTCTTCAATACCATGGGTCTCTGAAAAAAAAAAAAGGGGGTGAGGATTTTTACAAGGATGACTTTAAATGTTTTTAATCTAATTAATGGGATGGGCATCCCTAACATTTTCCATTGGAAGTATGTCCTCTTAGAAGTCTTACATGTACACTGTCATACAATATAAATAGATGTTTTCCTCTGCTATCCTTTGCAGCCCCATAGATGCAGTTCACAGTGCACATGCCCCTTGGAGTTCTACCCACAGCTGGGACCTGCTTTCTCTTAACAGTGTTGTATTATGGAAGCAGTCCTGTTTTCATGAGATGAGACTATTTCACAGATAGTACAGATTGTGATTAAAAAATGGTTATACAAGATAGCTAACACTCAGAAAGGGAAAATAGCCCCCTACTGTGGGAGCAAGTGAAATAATCTGGGAGAACTGAGATTGAGACAAAGCCCTCATGAAATTCAGATGAATAAAGACTTTTCACATAGATAAATGTGCTTGCTTGAACATACAGACTAGTTATCCAGAATTTATTACACAAAACTAAAATCTAATGAAAGTGTGTTGTAGAAGTTGCAGAATAGTATTTTTTTCTATAAGGTCATCCATTTAATACCAAGCTTTAAGATTGACTTGCTGGTTTTTAACTGTAAGCTCTGCATATCCAAACATTAGTTGCATAGCGATTTTAGGTTAAAAAGTTACATAAAAGTGTATTGGTATGTTACAGACTATATTTAATACATGTACATCCTTATAGGCTAAATGTAATGCAATTATTTGCCTTAGTCATGAAGGCTAAATCTGGTCTAATGTTTATCAAGTGCCACATAGTGTCTTGATACATGTGCAATCAGTATGAACAGTGCCCAGTGAAGTGTTTTCATTAATTATTGAACTTTGAGGACAAACTAATAGTAACTGATTCCAGCAGGAAATGTAGTCATCTCTTGTATTATATTTATGAGTTAACTTCTACATAATGTTATGACTAATTTGTTTTTGAGAGCAGTTCCTTCCTTATGGTCACTCTAAACCATGCACAAAACTGTTGAGGCATTCTGTGTATTGGAAGTACAGCTGAACAAGCACTATAAAGATGCAGTACCTTCTGTATGAAAAATTGGAAGATCACTGGTGGTAAGAAGATACCAGAAAGCATCCCAAGCTTATCTGTGTATGTGTACATAATAGTACACATAAATAGTTATAGTACATTAAAGGGTACTGTAAGCAATGTGAAACTTGGGCTTCTGGGAGTGACAGACAAAGTAATGGAGAAGCAGCGAGGTTTTGCTCTCTGCAGCCTTCTAATGCAGTATTTTTGGCCTTTTAAAACTCTAATTTGCATTGACTGCCAGTAATACAGAAGGCAAAAAAAGACCTGATCATACTTGTGTGTTCTGGCTCCAGAGTTCAGTATGTCATTGCCCTGGGAGCAAAGAGAGTCAAGGCTTTTGAAGACGCTGCTCACTATTGAATGTTGGAATTGCATAATATGTTGATCAGACAGTGTTTGTACAGCCATTTAGCTTTTCAGATGTTCCTTTTTCTTTTTTCCCTGAACAGGTGACTCACAGCTACTGACCTGAGAGGAGAAACCCCCATTGAAGATTACTTTTCCTCATCATTTTTGAAAATTCAGAGCCAGCAATTATGACCATCAATTCCACAGGAGGCTTTCTTTGGCAAACAATTCAGTATATGGAAAAAATAGCCTGAAATGTTAATTTTTGAGTCACTACTTTTTGGTTGGTTGGTTGGGTTTTTTTTTTTTTTTTTTTTTGTTTGGTGGTTTTGTTTTTTGTTTGTTTTGGGGGTTTTTTTAATTCAAAAAATTCTGGTTTGGATAGAAATCTAAGTTGTTCAGATGTGTATTTTGTAGGATCAAGAATGTCCAATTCTTAAGCACATTTTATATGTACGTAAGTAATGTGTGGCCAGTTAAGTGAGGGGAGCATATTGAGTATATATGAGAACATACTCAAGAATACTTGCTGTTAGAGTAACTTAGGGATTCAGCCAAGGCATCAAACTAGCTATAAAACGTTCCCTTCACTGCACTGAATATATATCATCTGCCTTGAAATCCAACTAAATACTCCTTGCAGAGAAGGTGTAGCAGTGTGATGTTCCAGAAAGAGCAGAATTCCTAGTTGCACTACAGTAGCTGAAATTCAGTAACACACCACTTAAAACTTTTTCTTCTTAGTTTGAAGAAGTGTATGTCAGTGTGAAAAGTAACAAGTGACACAGCACAATATGGAGTAAGAGTTGAATTCAGTACATATTCAAGCATGTGTTTATTTCCAACATGGTACATTTAGCAAGACATTGCAGCACCTTTTTAGAAATTCGTTTATGGTCTGACACCTTTTTAAAGTGACATCTTCTTGCGCTTTTTTTAATAATAATATTTAGCTATGCTGAACCAAGGTAGTTTTACTTTTATCATTTGTTATAAGAAACAGTATTTTGTAATTTCATACTTAAAATTATTTTTCTTTTTTGGTTTAAAATGCTTTTTGATTAGTCTAAGCAGCCTTCTTTAAAAAAGATCAAAGCACTTAAACATACTAATGATTCACTTGTGAAAATCATGCTTCTCTTGCTGTTTTCATTATTCCCTTTAGTAGCTTCAAAAATGTTTGCATTCCATACCCAAAGGCGTATGGGCTGAAAAGAAAAAAAAAGTTACCCTTTTTTTTTTTAACAAGAATTACACCTTTCTCTGTGGTGAATGCTTAGAAGTATTCCTAAACTTCGTGACTAATGGCTGCAGGCAGCTATTCTTACACTACCACAGTACTAAGAGGAGGTAGGTAAGTACGGAGATACAAATAACCTTGTACCATCTATAAACTCCATGTGATGGTCAGTCCATTACAACTTTGCGAAAACTGAATCTTCTGTAGCATTTTATTTTTACTACCATGAGATACGCTGTGTTTGAGAAATACGTAGTATCTGTCCTTTTTGTAGTGTGGTCCATTCACTGTTCCTCTTGTGACAGACACACTATTATGCAGGTTTTGGGTTTTTTAAGTGGAGTTACGTATTGCTGCTGTCATGTAATGGAACATGTACTGTGTTAATAATAGAAGATTTCATGTCTTGCCATTTAGTTTATATAAAGAGGAACAGGAGAGCTTACATTAGCAATAGGCTGTGTAACCTAAAAGAACCTTAGCTCTTGGACCCTTCAGTTTTTTTGCTGTGGCTGTCCTGAAATTCAAGCTCTGTCAAGACATCTTGAAAGCATGTCACTTTACCCTTGCTCTCACAGGCATTTACTTAATATTGTTGCCTTATTTATGAAGTTAGTGAACATTCATTTTCAAAGCACTGTGAGCAGCGTTATGTAGAGTCGCATGGATTTTGCTGTATTAGTCATCAGGTCTGTGTTTCTCTGTACTGAGATCAGCTCTATGAAGCACATGATACTGGCTTTCGAAGGACCTAAACTTACATCATTTATTTTTCTTAAACTGCTTTGAACCCCAAGTTACATGGCATGGTTCCAGGCTGCCTAACACTCTGTTAGTGCAGCAATAACAGCACTTTCAAAGTTCATCATAGTCATTTGAGATTGCCTCTACTGTAAGCTGTGGTGTTTCTGGTCAAGTCACGCCACACGTTAAAACCAAGCTAATAAATAATCTTTTGGCTGTAGCACAAAGCAGAACTATGATGCAGAACTGTAATTCAGATTATATGGTTCATCTGAAAGTCAGTGCTACATTAACAGTGTTGATTGAGCAACTTTAATGTCCATTTTTTCCTGTCTTCCAGGCTTCAGTTTTTTTCCTTAGGCTATACATATGGGACACTAGCAAAATTCTGAGGGGAGGAAAAATAGTGTCATTTTAAAGTATAGGTGCAGTGGTCCTCTTGCACAACATTTGTGTCTGCAGTTTAACACTGTGTTGTGATTTATGTGATTAGCTCCATGCTGTACTGTACCACAGTTTTCAGATTTGTTTGCCATGTGATCTATCATCTTTGCCTTGAAAAATGTGTGCATGATTGAAAAGAATAACTGTCCTTAATATGTTTTATATTTAGCTGAAATCTTAGATTCCTGTAATAGCTTAGTATATAGAGTTCTTACAAGAACGTGTATTTTATACGCACACAGAAAGTAGTTGTTATGCTAAGCATAGCAGTTTATATCAGTTGAAAACTGACATCTTCAGTGTGGAAAGTAAATGTTTTTTTTTCCACATACTGCTAAAGAAACCAAAACCCAACCCAAACCTGAATTTTAATCCTCCACGAGTCACTAGATGTCACAATTTCACAAAATTCTCCACTTTGATATAAAAACTTGTGAATATTATTCATAAAACTTCCCATCTTCTGTAATATGAAATTTTGTGGTGGAATGGCTACAGCAGCAAAGGGGGAAATTTAGGAATATTCACAAGTAAGTCATGGTTTTCCCATAGCTGAGAAAGCTGTGTTGGTCCTTGAGAAATCTTAGAAATCATCACTACATTAAAAACACATAAACTTATGCAAAGGAAAGAGAGCCTCCATAAAAAGACCTTCCTGTCTATTACTGGTATTTCTCATTTGTGGCTGGACTTTATTGTTGTGGCTGCATTGTTCTGTTGCTAGTCACTTAAGCAGTTTGCCAGCGTTCAGGCTTTTTGCATTTTTAGAAACTTCTTTCTCTGTTCAAATTAAAACTATTCTATCATAGCATAACTGATCAGCAAGGTAAAAAATGTTTATTGTATAAATACTTATATTAGGACTGAAAAAGCTTCTGTGAGTGGGAACAAGAAACAAAGTATTCGATTTCTACTAAAATAACCAAAATACAAGGTAAACAGCAATAGTCTTTTGATCAGAAACGGAATCTGCATCAACATGAATTTGATGCTCTCATTCACAGAGATTCCAGATCCTTTAAAAGTGACCAATAGTCTTATTTTGTTCACTTTACTATGTTTTCATATATTAGTTAAGTTACCTATCTAGGATAGATGAAGGTTTGGGGATTTTTTTAAAATGTCACTTACGAGTTTTTTAGGATTTTTTGTTTGTTTGTTCTGTTGGTTTTGTTTTTTTATTTTTTAAGTCTGATGTCTGCATCCTACACCAGACACCTGTAAAACCAATTAGTATAATTCTATACTGTGTTTTTTTGTGGCTGCATTGGGGATAGAATTCAACATACTTCACATTATTTGTAAAGAATCATTTTGAGTATAAGCACTATATTCTGTAATGTTTAATATTAATGACAGGTGCATTATTGAAGATGCAACTTACTGAGGAGACAGAAACTTTTGTTGGTTAATGTTACCTTTATTCCATTTGTTGCACTGAATTTCAAGAGTGTAATTTGTAAATCAAGTTTGCTCACGTGTGTAATCAGATATTTTTCTTTGCAGTGCTTATGCAATTAGATTACCTAGATATGTTTCTGGTAACTACTCCATAAGCATGGACAATATGTTATGTTTAGCACAACAGAATTCATGTTAAGAACACGCGAAGCTTCTTGCAAAGAAAAGGAATAAACAGAAGAGAGAGAGACTGGGAGAGCGCGTTGCATGATTTCAGTGCTACTGGAGCTGGCAGGCAGTAGGTCATCCTCAACTTGACTGCAAATTGCTCTTCAGTGTAATAAGCACATTGATGTACTGCTAGCAGTGCTGTAAAAAGTACAGCAATGGCTGTTTTTAACCTATAAATATACTGTAATTTAAACTTTTCCTACAGAATGAATTTATATTTAATTGCTAATATGCCTACTACATAATACGTAAAATTAGAATTTTTAGGAGGGTCAAGGGTGGGTGGGCATGCCCGTATATTTTGGGGAGGGGCTGTTGTATATACGGTTCTTTGCACTTCCCGTTCAGTTTGACTATTAATCCAAAACTCCCAGCTCTGACTGTGGTGAATCTGCAACCTGACATTTATGTATTTTTATTGTGATTCAGGTCTTCTATATTCTGTGGCCCACAGCTTCAGAATTAGACAGAAAAGGTCATCTTTCCATTCTCAAATGTGAATGCTCTGATGTACCTCTAGTATGGAAAATGACCGGGCAATGGATTTTATTCTGCTGAGTTTCCAATGTTAATCTAGAGTATTATTGAAAGCTGATACCCAAGGCTGTTAATAGGTAGTGTGTCCACTTGGAACAAGTGAAAAGGATAATGGCTGTTTTGGTGAGGATAGTCCAAACTCTGCAGAGATTTTATTCCAGAGACTGTCACCTATTTGATACTTAGGTTTGCCATAGACTGGCTTGATTTTCAGATTTAGAAACATATTTTTTATTACGAAATGTTGGGGATATTCGCTTAACATCTCCCAGTGTGTTACTGTGGTTGTTGTATGTTTTGAATTTAATCTTAAGTATGTACAAATACATCATCATAAGATGAAAGCTTAAGAAATGCAGATGGCTGCAGGTTGACTTGCATGAGTGAAGCCAGTGAAGTTTAATGAAACTAATTTTTTTGTTAAGCCTATTGAATATGTAAGAAATAATCAAAAGAAAAACAGTTTGCCATTCACTAGCTTTGTGCAATATTATCAGTAGACTCAAACACTACTAGCACATTGTGCTTGGCTTTAAGAAAGTTCTTTAACTCCATTATATTCAAAAGAACATATTCAATGCATATTTTACTGTAAACGACTGCAAAGTTACTATGCCTAAAATTGCTCAATGTTATAAAGTATTAAGCAACAAGTATGTTTAAAAAAAAAAGTAAAAAACAAACTTTTCTATCAATACCTAAAAAACAAAAAAAAGTTTTAACTGTCTGCTTTTTGGTCTTTTTTCTTTAGTGCAGCTTTTCTGCAATGCAAGTTTATTGCTGTGTATTTCATGTTTTTTATTATCATGACTCAGAAATGTAAACCTGTACTCACCTTCTTGTACATGCGATGTAACATCATACTCACAATTTTGGTGCTTTAAAATTATTCTTTTTTCCTTTATTAAAGGATATTTATTTGATCACTGTCTGGTTTTAACTTTGAATATGTACTAACATGAAAAAAATATTTTTAATAGTTTAGTTCCCATGGGGAAAAGCAGTCATACCTGGTTTGTTTGGTTTCCATTGTTATTCTTTGAACTCCTCAAGCTGCCTACCATTGCTTCATGGCAGATGGTTGCGCATAAGCTATGTTGCAGCAGGGAGTAATTATATTGGGTAACATCCTTGTACCTAAATCACATAACATAGGTATTGTAGAAGAATCTTATTCTTAAGTAATGCAGGATAGTTTTGCTGAAATGCAAATCACATACACTTCCCATCCTTAAAGACAAAAACACTATGAAGAAGAGTAAAAAATTAAACCCAGAAATACTAAAAGCTTAGTTCCCTTACTACAATCTTCTACTGTTTCACAGATAGCCCATGGCAATGCCATTACAAGGAGAGAGCAAGGTTCCACCTGCAGTCACTTAAAAAGTCAAGTGAGGATCATGGAAAAGCTGAAATCAGAAACATGCAGCTTCTCTGCTATTTGCTTTTTTTTGGTATATGTACATTATATTTGAAAAGCAAAGCTGATTGTAAATGAAGATACTGTAGAAGTACCTTTATGAGTGTTTTTAAGTTGTTCTGTTTTGTTTCCTCGGGGAGGGGACATACCCCAAAATAGACAACTGATCATGTCCCAGACTAGAGTTGCCAGCTGCTTGTTTGTTTTTCTCTATAGCCATTCTGTGTTGTTACTTACCTACATAAATCTTATGCAAGAAATACATTTGTGTTGTGTATCTTTATTTTCTAACTCCGGTGTCCCTGGTACAAGAACTAGAGTGCAGGTAAGTTAGTGCAGGCATGTTCTGTGCCTGTACTGACTCACATTTTAACATAAGGAAAAAAAAAAAAAGGTGTATTTCTGAA